TGTGAAAGCATCTGTTCTTCTTCATTCTTCTTCACTTGGAAATTATGTAAAGAAAATGTGTACTACTGCCCCCAACATAACAATATGAAACACAGTGAATATTATAACACAGTGAATTATAACAATGAAAACACAGATTCTAGGAGCACAAGTATACAGTAGCTCAAATATATTTAGACTAGTATATTTAGACAAGTATAAGTCAAGTATACTTCAATGTCATTTTAAGTATATTTCTGAGAAGTACATTAAAAGTAGACTAAAACTATACTTTCCTATTTTTAGTTTAAAAGAAGTATTCTATTGGCACACTTGAATAAACTTCTTTTTCGTAAGGGAAGTAAGATCTGGGGGTGCAAAGTCACCCAAAGTGAATCCCGCATGTGATTGGACAAAAAGTGAGGCTTCATTGTGAAACCAATACACATCTTGATATGGGGCTTTGCTGGAGATTGTGATGCTTTGAAGCTTCAGTGTCATACGTCACATCGCGGCTGCATCTGAAAACTGAAAAAATACTGCCTTCGGAGAATGCATTCCAAGGTAGGAAGGCATCAATACACGTTCGAAATCAACGTAAGCTTTACTTCCTGTCTCCTGAGATGCCTTCATCTGATCGTTTTTTGAAGACAGCATAGATGTATCCTTCACTGCCTTTGATATCCTACAATCCTGTGTGTTCCATTCCATGATGGTTGAGCTACAAAAAAAAAAAAAAGATGGCATCTGAAAGCTGTGGTTGGTGGTCAGTTTCTAACCAACTTTATCCGCTTTTGATGTTATGTCTAACGAGAAATCAGTATCACAGAAATTAAATATTTGCTTAGTTATCACCAAATCTCACTCTATTTTGTTGTAGACCATTAAACTGTTACGCTGCCTCGGAAGTCTGTCTGAAATCAGTTTCATGAGGTGCCTTGATGCATGCGCAAAGACTGCCTGCAAAGTCATTGCCTGATGAGGCAGCAAGGTAACAAGTCAGCAGCCTAAGCTTTCGGACACAGCCCACTACTTTGCTGTATTTTGGGGGGCTGCATTTCAACATGCTTGTATATTTAAGCTATGAACATTTCAAAAGGAAACATTTCACAGACAATTTCATTATAAAAAATTTAAGCATCCATATTGACCTTCTAAAGTTCATTTTCAAAATATTCAGTTTATTTAAAAATACCACCTACAATATTCTACACAGAATGCTATATTTTAAAGCAATATGGATGAGATTAGGAGGAGAAATTGTTAGACAGACTTGGAATTAGAAACAGCACTGACGAGTAGAAGAGATAACACTCCATTCACCAACATAAAATTACACACTTTTCAAACTACACGTCCTCAGCATGATTATGATCACTGTTTTGCTTTAGTAACAGTTTCATTTTGAATCTAAAGGAGTAATCTATTAGACTGTGGCTGTAATAAGCTGTCAAATGCGGCTTTACCAAGCTCAACAGCTCTGGCTCAAGCTGTGGTCAAGAGTAAAATGAGAAACAAGAGACCAAAAAATGCAGATGAGCTGAAGGCCACTGTCAACGAAACCTGGGCTTCCATACCACCTCAGCAGTGCCACAAACTGATCACCTCCATGTGACTCCAATTCATAAGACCATTTTTATTGGTCTTATGACTTATGCTAATTTGTTGAGATAGTGAGTAGGTGGGTTTTTGTTAAATGTGAGCCAAAATCATCACAATTAAAAGAACCAAAGACTTAAACTACTTCAGTCTGTGTGCATTGAATTTATTTAATACACGAGTTTCACAATTTGAGTCGAATTACTGAAATAAATGAACTTTTACATGACATTCTAATTTATTGAGATGCACCTGTAAACAAAACGCTATTGGCTATTTAAAAATGGGGACAGAGCTGCTTGATATGCCCCGCCCTGTCTTCCTGTTTCAGTTGAAATTATGTCAACACATAGAATAACGCGGCGCATTTCAAGGCACTTCAGTGGAACTTAAATATTTTGGAAATTAACTTTGGAAGGTCAGTATGGATTATTAAATTTTTAATAATAAACTCATCTGTGTAATGTTTACTTGTAATTTTTTTTGCAACTTAAATATACAACCATGTTGTTGCATTTTACAGCCCCCCAAAACGCAAGTCTTGAAAATACAATGCATTAAAATGCAAGAACTACATTTTTTTTATTAGTCCAATTCCACATGCTTTTTTGCTTCAAATACATTTGTCATTAATTTACTTCCATAGGACGTGTACAGTATTACATATGCACTTGTTTGCTCTTCCTGCTGTATACTGAATACTGAATTTCATGACCTGAAATGCGCCACTCAAATAAAAACTTTTGAATTTCACAACCTCAATTTGAGCCAAATGCACTTGAAATATATTTAAATATTCAAGATTCACAGTGAAGATTTACAATAACATCAAATCATTTTTCCAAGACCATGAATTAGATAAATCTTCAAATACAAACAGGCCCGGATTGGCTAATCGGGAGCACCGAGAGGATTCCTGGTGGGTCAGTCTGTTTTTGGGCCGGTGTTCTGACAAATAATGCTACCTATCAGATTATGCTACCAACACTGTATTTATCCTACGGTAAGGGTAGGTTTAGGGTTGGGGTAGGTGTACATGTTAATAAAGCCTCACACCTTATTAATATAATGCTGGAAGCAAAATCTGACAGGTAGCACTTTTCGGTATCGAATTATGCTACCATCTGTTTTAATGGGAGGTAGCTAAATCTGACAGGGTAGCACAAATCGTCAGAACACCGGTCTAAGGCGTGAAACTCCAGGGCTGAAAATGAGTCCCACTCCGGCCCTGAATACAAATTATTGTGGAACTGATCTAATGGCATAATCTAGTCTTTCTTAATGTAACTACTTTAATGTTAGGCTTACTAATGTAACTTATGATCACATTGTGACAACCAGTGACAAACACTCTCTCCAGCTCATTGAAGACTACTCTCACTGCTGCATTCTGGATTAGTTGCAAATGTTTGATAATAAATGCTATGCGATAGAAATTGTGTGTGATTCAAAGGAGTTGTTGTCACACAGTGATGGTAAAGGATTAGATTTCCAATCATTCGAGATAAGCAGCCCAGTACCCCCACCTCTCCCCATCAGTTGAGGGTTGAGGGAGATGTAAATATGTCTGCTTTGTTTACTGCAGACTAGCAATTCCAGAGACCAATAGGAAAAAAAGCAGTGTACAAGAGGACGAAGGTATGCAGATTGTTAGTACTGCACTGCCTCCAGCGTGTGATTTGAAAATTTTGAGTGTTAGTAAATGTAGGGATTTGGAAACACAGTGAAGACTGGTCACAAAATTGAAACAGAATGTGAAAAAACTGCATAGCCAGTGTCCTTGCTCGGTGGACTCACACAAGTAGACTCGCTGGTCTTTAAACTCTTTGGTCTTCACAAGACGAGGGTTTCACTTGAGGGTTGCTGGCTGTTGTATATTATACTCTCACTAGGTATATAAATATGGATGATAAATATCGCACACCCATAATATCTGCCTTAAACATTGTAATTTAATTCAGCAGGACACACTTTATTATTTAACAAAACAAAGGGGCTAAGCAAGCAGTGAAACTGAAAAACAGCATGAGAACAAATGCAACATCAGCACAATGTGACTTCCTAGCAGCAATAACTGCACTAAATCTAAAGGGAAAAAACAAACACACATTGCTATTGACTGCTGCTGGTTGACTAATTCTCCTAATGAGTACTTGCTTAAACTGTTTAAGTACTTTACCGGGCATTTGGACATGCCTTACTATTTAACAAAACAAAAAGGTTAAGCTAGTGTGCCAAAACAGAAAAACCTTGTGAAAGCACGAGAACAAACATAACTTCAGCACCTGTTAACATAGTAAACAAAGCAAGCATTTCCTTGCAGTGACAACTGTGTTTAAAACTAATGAGTCAAGAAACAAATACACTTACACGCTGGATAGTTGTTCTGGCATTTACCTCACCTATGGCAAACCCATGGTTCAACTCGCTGTTCACTGCATTTACTGCAGAAATTCACTTAAACAATCAAAGCTGTCCAACAAGTTTAGGAACCACTTGCATTCTAGCAGATGCTCCAAGCTGCTGGATCTCAAAGACAACTGCAAATAATCCTACAATTATGAGATGTAGGAGTCTTGCAGATTTTTGTTCATAATGCAATAGACCTTATGCACCAGAGAAACAAGTGAGCAGCCATCTTTAGAATTTTGTCTTTGAACTTCCATTTTTGCAGTAGGTCTATAGCATCACCGTTAAAGAGTAATTAACTGGTGAAGTGGATTTTCTTACTGTAGAGTAAACGGATGTTGTCATGATCTTAGGGGTAGGATCGAATATACAGTTTGTACAGTATAAACCCAACATGTGTGTTTGTGTGTGTGTGTGTGTGTTTGTTTGTTTGTATGTGTCTGTGCTCTTTTTCAGTTAGTAATCTGAGGATCGTTCTGCTAGGAAAGAATGGATCAGACAACAACAGTGTGGGAAACGTTATACTGGGTACAGAAGCATTTCACAGGGACACTCAATCTTATTCAAAGCATCTCAGTGAGATAATCAGTGGAAAGGTGGAGAAGACACACATCACAGTCATCAACACTCACCTGCTCCAGCCAAATTTCCCACAGCATCAGATAATAGAGGCAGTGAGAGAGTGTGTGTCTCTGTCTGCTCCAGGACCTCATGCGTTCGTACACGTACTGCAGCATAATGACTTCAGTGAGAACGACAGACAGAGAGTGAAATATGTGCTGAACCTATTCAGTGAGCAGGCCATTAAACACACTATAGTAGTTACTACTGATGAAGACACACTTACATCCAAATTGGCTTCTAAGATATGGAATAATGCCGTTAATAATTTAATAAAGGAGTGTGGAGGACATCTTAAATTTGATACAAGAAACTCAGGATGGCGCTCTGAAATGTTGAAAAGGACAGAGGAGATAATCAAGAAAGAATGTATAGAATATCTCATCTGTAACATGTATGAGGATGGAGGTGGAACACCAGTGGATGAAGATCAGAGCAGATCTGGAGCTTCAATCAGAGAAAACGACAAAAAGGAGAATTCTGTTGAGAGCACAAAAACAGGACATGATGGAGGAGGTTTGTCAGTCTTTTTTCTATATAACATCTCTAAGAATATGCTCATGAAATGCTACCTTTTGGGCCTTCAATACTTACAGTGTAGTAGAGACCGTAAATGACAGGGAGAAAAATGAGGAGCAATAGTGCGTAACTTGAACTACTATTTATTATTTTTACTAATCTGTTTTAATATATACATACATTTAGACATATTTAATAGGGTATCAAGACATTGACAGAAAGACAAAGTATGCTTTTAGTGTGCATGTGTGGTGTTTTTTCTTTCAAGGGTTCAAGTGCGTAGCGCTAAAACCCTATTGTAATTGTTAAGATTTTCAAAGATCACCATTCTGCCCTAAAAGTGATCAGACAGATCAAACCATAAGGTGTAAAGACTTGAAACTTTGAGGGATACTGGTACCCCCGTCTACAACGTCACCAAGGCTCACCTGATTGGCCTGAGGGGGCCGCTACAGCAATCAAAAGTATGAAATCGCTCATAACTCCTAAAGCGCTTGAGGCAGTGTCTTAAATCATGGGAATCCTTGGGTCAAGACGAACAAAACGTATATGTCAAATTCAAAAATTTGATGGATTTGAACATTTCTGAAATTGTTGGTTATTTTGGAATTTTTATGTTTTTTTGCCTGATCGTAAGAAAAACAGCGGATAAAGATTCCCCGAAGAGTGAATATCAATAATTATCAAAAAAAAAAAAAAAAAAGTAAAAAAAAAAACTTGAAGTTTTGGCTCCTCATCGTGAAGGGGTGCCAAGGCATTTAAAAGAGGCAGGCCGCTTTTACTAAAATGGTTATGACTTTTGATTGGAATTAGATATTTACATAAAACTTCATACACGTAAGTAAGAACTCAATATTAAGTCACATGAAAAAATACAATAATTATAAAAAAATAAAAAATAAAAATGTTGAACTTTACACTGGTTAGTTATTGCAAGGTCATCTAAAAATTGGCATGCCCAAATATACACAAAAGCCTAAAAATCCTAAATAAAAATTCAAAACTTCACTAACTTAAGAGAGCTCTTAATACATATGATTCTAAACAAGCGTGCAAACTTTTATATCGATTGGACCATGGGTGGCAGTATAACTTGAAGGTGAAAAATTTTATATTTCTAAGGCAAATTACATGTGCTTGTTGATATGTCTGACTCGTGTAGAATTTCACAAAATTACCTGAACACATGATTATAGATAAACATGCAAACTTTTATGGAGATTGGACCATAGGTGGCACTATATGGTTAAAAAGCGTAAAAAAAAAAATTAAAAAAAAAATACAGTGGAGATCAAAATTAGAGAATCATTTATGGATGCCAAAAAAAATTATGTAATCTTCATCATTCAAAAAAATTTGAAGGAATTTTAGTTGTGGCTATACCATGCTATTAGAACAGTGTTTTACAAAATAACCAAGGCACTTCAACAAAAACCCTTTATTTTGTGGAAAACACAGTGATCAAAATTAGAGAACAGTAACCACTGTAGCATGAAATTAGATAACAAAAATTTTAGAGAATTAAAGCTGTCAGAAATTAGTAGAAAGTGTAGAGGCTCCTGCTCTGAATGACTTCAGCATATCTGCGGCCGCAGGACATCACTAGTTTCTCATACTGCGCTGCTGTGATCTTGGTCCACTCTTCTTCCAGTCTCTTCCATAGTTTGGTGACTGTAGTGGGTTTCTAAGCCATAACATAAAAATCTTGAATCTTGAACTTTGAATTTTCCAGAGATTTTCAGTTGGGATTAGATCAGGATTCTGGGCCGGCCATTCATTATGTCAATGTTCTTTGCTTCAAGGAACTGCTTTACCCATTTTGCAGTGTGAAAGGGATCATTGTCCTGCATGAAAATTGCAGGCTGATTGGCCGATGATTGGAGGGAAGGAACTGCATGTAGCTGCAGGAGGTTCTGATAAACATTTGCATTCACCAGCTTTGTATCTGTTATAAGAGGTGCAACTCCTGCTGCACAAAACATCTCCCAAACCATGACACTTCCTCCTCCACCTTTCACGGACTTCTTTACACACTCAAGGTTCAGTCTTTCCCCAGTTTGACGCCAAACATAAGGTTTCCCATCAGACCCAAATAAATTAAACTTGTGTAACAGAGGCCAGCGGTAGGTGCTGTGCAGGTAAAACCTCACTCCCCTGACCTTAAGAGACACTTTAGCCTCCATGTTAGTGCATCCGCCTCCCATGCTGGAGACCTGGGTTAGAGACCCACTTGGAGCGAGAACGAAGTGTGGTGGTGAGGACCCGGGGGCAGAGGGGTTACACTTGCTCTCATCACTAAAGTAACTTTGAACCAGTACTTCTCTCTCCACACAATATGCTTTTCAGTCACCTTAGAGCGGCTCACCATCTTGCAAAGTCAGTGAAAACTGTAAAGTTAGACTTCCAGTTAAATAGGGTTTTTCAGATAATTAAGGAAATTATCACCAGGTGCCATATTAACACCAATGACTGGGAGGTATCTGTAAGTGTTCTCTAATTTTGATCAGAGTTTTTATTCAAATATCTCATTTAAGTTTGTTATACTGTGGTTCAGAATATATTTAACTCAGGAAATATGCTTAAAAAACTGCCCTTCTACTCCTTTTAGAATAACTTAAAATAGGACAAAGCATCGACCTTGAAATTGAGGAAATTGTAGGTTGTTCTCTAATTTTGATCTCCTGTATTTCCTTACAAAAATTCCTGTATTGGCTAAAAAAACGCTCTTTTCCAACTCTGATCTAGGTGGTTACAGGCATGCTAAATAAAACAAAATACCTTTTTGCACATGTGCTAAAAGGCATTAAAGTGCTTGAACCCCAGTAATTGCTGCTGATTATATAGACAGTGATATGTGTTTGTAAGTACATGTGGGTATATGATGATAAGATTTTAAGTTTTTGGTGGACTATTCCTCTAAAGGCTGAATGTACACAGTTTATGCTGTCAGAGATTCATATATAGAGAGTGGATTCACCTAAACAGCAAGTCAGTAAACTAATGCTAGTTAGCCTTCAGTTAATAAAATAATGCTCTGCAATCTAATTTTATTTTCCAATATAATATTTTTGTTGTTTGAGAAAGTGAACATTTGGTACCAAAATTGAGTGCACTGTCTCTAATCTTGTTTTAAGTGATGACTACTGGAAAAGAAAAGCTGAACATTGTGCTGTGTGGAAGTAATCCAACACTCAAGAACTCAGTGTCTAAAATATTTAGAGGTGTAACAAGTAAACCGGGACGTAAAGAGATGAGTAGAGTGTGTCAGAAGAGAGAGGGAACGATTCATGGACGGCAGATCAGTGTAATAGAGCTTCCAGCTCTCACTCGGCTCTCAGAGGAGGAAGTGATGCGGGAGACTCTCCACTGTCTGTCTCTCTGTGATCCTGGAGTTCATAATTTCATCCTCATTACTCCTGTCACTCCACTTACTAATGAAGACAAAGCAGAAATTGAGAAGATAAAAATAATATTTAACGCACAAGAGCACTTCATGGTGCTTTTCATTACTGAACTCACTGTTGACAAAATGGTGTCAGATTTTGTAGAATCCACAGAATCTCAGAGGATTGTGAGTCTCTATGGGAGCTGGTACAGTGTGATGGGGTTAAAGGACCAGAGAAACTCACAACAGATCTCAAAGCTGTTTGATTGTATAGAGAGCATGAAGCCTGAACCCTATTCTCTTCAGATGTATATGAGAGCTTCAGAGAAGAAAGTTAGACATGAACTAGAAGAGAAACTGAGTGTGAGAGAAAATGAAATCAAAGAGTTACAGAAGAATATCAAGACACTGGGTAAGTGGATTCATTTATTTCTATGAATAAAGCATCTTTTTGAGAATAAATGTATAAATTTACAGGATATTTCAGTTTATTTACAGTACAGTGAGTAACGTTGGTTTTGTTGCGTTTCTCAGAACTGATATATGCTGCCTTTTGCTTGAATATTATCTTGTGTCAGCTTGTTTGTTCAATTGCACTACTATTTTCTTTCGCTTCAGCTATAATTAAGAGACATTTAATTTCCATGCCTTATAAGCCTGAAGCATCTACACCTTCTCCATTGTCCATTTGAAATGTTAGCTCTGAAATCGTGTCTGAAAAGTGAGATAACATCTGGGTGCATATATATTGCTTGTAATTGAGATTAAGTAAAGATCTGTTGAGTATTTTAACATATAATTTTTGATTGTGTTGAATTAAAAACCCAAAACTGCAGTGGGTCCACCAGACCCACAAACACTGGCTGAGTAACACAAATATGAACACCACACAAGGGTTAATCTAGGTTTAAATTGACAGTGTGTGTCTGCCTCCCGAACAATGTTAAGTAGATCGTTCCAGAGTTTGGGCGCTAAATAGGAAAAGGATCTGCCGCCCGCAGTTGATTTTGATATTCTAGGTATTTTCAAATGACCAGAGTTTTGAGATCGCAGCAGATGGGAAGGACAATAACACGATATTTGCTCGCTCAAGTATTAAGGAGCTAAACCATTCAGGGCTTTATAAGTAATTAGCAAGATTTTAAAATGTATTCGATGTTCAATAGGGAGCCAGTGCAGAGTTGACAGAACCAGGCTAATATGTTCGTTGTAATAAGGTTCAATAAAGAGGAAGGACGAGAAAGTCAGGGGTGGCGAGTAAACCTTTTATTACTCAAACAAATAAACCAAAGGACAAAATGTTGCCAACTGCTTTCAATTGAAAGTAGCTAAAACTGGTAGCTAAATGTCACTAGATGACATCACAATGGCAAATTCACTGATCTATATAAAGATGAACGTAGATCAGTGGGCAAGATGAGAACTTGGATAAGGTTTGTTCAAGAAGTTGCTATATTTGTCCCTAAACGTTTGAAAAAAGTCTTAAAAGGGGCAGGGAAGTCGCTAAATCTAGCTACAAAGTAGCTAAATTGGCAACACCGCCAGGCTCTCTGCCTCCACAGTCTCTCTCAAAGACACACAAACAATGCTCAGTCTCTGGTGGTGATCAGTCTCTCTCACAGGTTTGAGGTGCGCTTATATCTCGTCTCTCACCAATCACTGGAATTAGAGACAGGTGTTAGTCTTCATTCACTTGACCTCCTTATCAATGCTCGTCTCCACACCCGTTCTCCCACTTCAGCCTTCGCATTCCCATGCCCCCCTTGCCATACTTGTCGTACTTCCTGATTCTTGTAAGAACTCTAGCTGCTGCAATTTGGACCAACTGGAGTTTGTTTATTAAGCGCACAGAACAACCACCCAATAAAGCATTACAATAATCTAATCTTGAAATCATGAACGCATGAATGAACGTTTCTGCATTTGACATTGAGAGCATAGGTCGTAATTTTATATATATTTTTAAGATGGAAAAATGTGGTTTTACAAATATTAGAAACATGGTTTTCAAAGGAAATATTGCAATCAAATAGCACACCTAGGTTCCTAACCAATGACGAAGAATTAACAGAGCAGCCATCAAGTATTAGACAGTGTTTTAGGTTGTTACATGCTAAGGTTTTTTCCCCCAGAATTTAGCAGTAGGAAATTACTAGTCATCCAGTTTTTTATGTCAACTATGCATTCTATTAGTTTTGCGAATTGGTATGTTTCATCGGGCCGTGAAGAAATATAGAGCTGAGAATCATCAGCATTACAGTGAAAGCTAACACCGTGTTTCCTGATGATATCTCCCAAGGGTAACATGTAAAGTGTGAAAAGCAGTGGTCCTAGTACTGAGCATTGTGGTACTCCATACTGCACTTGTGAACGACATGATACTTTTTCATTCACTACTACGAATTGATGACAGTCAGATAAGTATTAATTGAACCATGCCAATGCAATTCCATTAATGCCAACATCATTTTCTAGTCTATTCAAAAGAATGTTGTGGTCGATAGTGTCAAATGCAGCGCTAAGGTCCAGTAGCACTAATAGAGAAATACAACCACGATCGGATGATAAGAGCAGGTTATTTGTAACTCTGATAAGAGCAGTCTCGGTACTATGATACGGTCTAAATCCTGACTAGAAATCCTCACAGATACCATTTCTCTCTAAGAAGGAACATAGCTTAGAGGATACTGCCTTTTCTAGTATTTCTGATAGAAAAGGGAGATTTGAGATTGGTCTGTTATTAACTAATTCTCTAGGATCAAGTCATGTTTTTTTAATGAGAGGCTTAATAACAGCCAATTTGAAGGTTTTGGGGACATATCCTAATGTATTTGACGAACTAACCCTTGTGTGATGTTCATATTTTTCTTACTCAGTCAGTGTTCGTGGGTCTGGTGGACCCGCTGCAGTTTTGGGTTTTTAATTCAACACAGTCAAAAATGATGTTAAAATACTCAACAGACATTTACTTCATCCCAATTACAAGCAATATAAACAGCATATATGGTCAAAACTTGCCCTTTACCTTTGTTAGATCACATTTATGAATTAAAGTGTGTGGTCATTGAAAATGTGTTCTGATAAATGTTCTTCACAGAAAATGAGCCAAGGCCAATGAGTCTGAGTTTGAAAAAATCATTAATAGTATAATTTTTCTTTCGATAAAATGTGAAAACTGGGGAAAAATTGGGGAAGTCATGGCCTAATGGTTAGAGAGTCTGACTCATAACCCAAAGGTTGTGGGTTCGAGTCTCATACCTGTAGGGATTGTAGGTGGGGGGAGTGAATGTACAGCGCTCTCTCCCACCTTCAGTACCACGACTGAGGTGCCCTTGAGCAAGGCACTGAACCCCAACTGCTCCCCGGGCGCCGCAGCATAAATGGCGGGGAGCTCTGGGTGTGTGTTCACGGTGTGTGTGTGTGTGTGTGTGTTCACTGCTGTGTGTGTGTGCACTTTGGATGGGTAAATGCAGAGCACTAATTCCGAGTATGGGTCATCATACTTGGCCACATGTCACGTCACTTTCACTTTCAAATAATAAAGCATAAACAGATGCAGATGCAGACAGAGCACAGCAGTAGTGACTTTATGAACTTCTTTACTTCCAGGATCGATACTATTAGAGATAAAATTGTAACTATGCAGTCGTCAGCTACAGTATCGCATCAGGTAGTGCACTGTAGATCCCTGAGGAACAATTCCACCCATTCTCTGCTATAGGAGAGGAACAATTTTATAAAAGTATCAAATCATCAAAACCTACAACATGTATGTTAGACCCTATTCCATCTAAGCTACTAAAAGAGTTGCTTCCAGAAGTCATATATCCTCTTCTGCATATTATTAACCCTTGTATGGTGTTCGGGTCTGTTTGATTTCTTTTAAAAGAGACGAAAAGTAAGCAGATATAGCATTTTTTAGAACTTTTCTATACATAGTACAAGTACTTTCCCGCCATGCATAACGAAACACCTTCCGTTTTGTTTTCTTCCAGCTGCAGTCCTTTTCCCGGGCTGCTCTTTTTAAGGCGCGAGTGTGCTTGTTATACCACAGTATTGGATTGTTTTTCTTTATCTTCTAAGCGTAAAGGAGCAACTCTATCTAAAGTGCTAGAAAAGTGAGAGTTTATAGTGTCTGATCCAACATCAAGTTTTTCTGAGCTATTGGATTTACTGAGGAATTGAGACAAGTCAGGAAGGCTATCTCTCCTCAACACTTTATCGTATTCACACCAAACTTGTTTGTTGTGAGTTTGTTATAACAACCATGTCCTGAGATTGTCTGCACGGTTTCATCTTGTGTTCAATTACAAAGTCTGTTGGTTAAGATGTACCACTAGGGGGAGCTGTTGTATTAGGTAGATATATGCATGCATGCAAGTGAAGGAGAGGAATGTTTGTCGTGCAGTGTTTCAGTAAAGAGGTGAGCGTGTTCTTTTCTGATTTATGCTGGTGTAATCATACTACACGTCTTGCGGAGTTGCCGGGTTACCATACGTATTATCAGAACTAACGTACTCATGAAGCACAACTGGATGTACGGGAAGCAAAATGGTTCAAAAGTACCGTCTTTTATCCGAAACTTCAAAATGGATTTGAGAAGCGAGTTATTCCCCAATTTACAACCGATTTAAGCGTGTTTGAGGCTTTGGTTATTACGCAGAAGTCTGTAGCGCAGGCTTATTTGAAACACAATGTCTGTCACGGGTGTTACATGTTACTTCGTTTTAATTAAGAAATTTAAATAAGACAAATTGCAGCAGGTGTAACAATTTACAAAAAAGAAAACAAAAAGTCTACAAAAATAATGGCTTTAAAATGCAATTTTATTTATTGCAAGAAAAGCATTTAAATTCTTTGTCTGTGGGTGGATTATTAACACAGTTAATATGGAACCAGCGCCCACAATCATCACAGGAAATCTGTAAAAAAAAATAATAAAATGTTAGCAATATTGTCAGCAATTGTGCTAATGTATTTATTAATATTCCACACCATTTTAATAATGCCTCCCCACAAAAGTGACACAGGTCACTTAGGTCATCTGAGTTACAATACAATAGGCAGGGTATGCTTTTTTTTAGGTCAGATTTTCAAAACACTAATGAAAGTGATGCACATCAAAAGGCATGTCAATAACTTTCATGGTTAAAATAAATAAATATACCAGATTGCTCAAGCAGTGTTGATGCAATCTCCAGCCTAAATCGTGCTATGTCTTGTGGTTCATTGGAGAAGTCAATATTGGTATTGTGCAGAATATGTTCTGCAAACTGGAAAAAAATAAAATAAATAAAGACAATAAAATCCTCCCATTTCAATGAACATTTCATATGTGCTGTCGCACACCTTCAAAGCAAACACACCACATGACGTAGTATCCGTCTGAAGTGGGTGAGTTGGATTTTGACA